GAGAGAGGAGACACTTTGGATTACTGCTACACCAGAGTAAGCGTTGCCTATCACACCGTCCCTCGTGCTGCGTGGTCTTACCACACCACGGGAATTTAAGAAGTGGACCAGTGAGGCACTGGAGGATCTGAGACGTTTTCAGGACTGCTACCAACAGTCTGAAAAGAGTTCACAGGCTGTAACTCCATCATACACCAAGTTGAATTATAACAACCAACTCTGGTTTACAGGGGAACTCAGAAAGCTACGACTACAGAAGGATCATGCACACAAAATGGCCGACTTCCTGTGTGATTTAAGGCTGTCCTCCGTGAGGACTTTTTGTACGTCTTATCACGTTACATATACGTTGCATGAATGAATTGGAATATCATCGGAAAGTAAATTGAATTTAGTCATTCATTACACACAGGGAAAATAGTTGAATACATTTGGATGATTACGGCTTATCGCTAATAAAAAACCCAGATTCAGTTTCTTGGAAAATTTGAATATTGTGAACAACTTCAATATTGTAGACTCATGGTGTCACACTGATCAGCTAATGAACACCTGCAAAGGTTTCTTTAGACCTTAAATGGTCTCTCAGTCTGGTTCAGTAGGACGAGGCACAATCATGGAGAAGAGTGCTGGCTTGTCAGATGTCCAGAAGACCGTCATTAACACCCTGCACAGGGACGGTAAGCCACAAAAGGTCATTGCTAAAGCAGCCGGCTTTTCAGGATCAGGAATCAGGAAATATTTATTACCAAAATATGCCAAACATACAAGGAATTTGTCTTGGCGGTTGGTGTGTGACAGTAGACAGTGTGACAATAGACAAGACAGCAGTGCACAGGTAATAAAATAAAGTAAAATGAAATGCTAATGCAATTAGTTAGTAGAATAAGGCTATGGGTTAGTATAAAACAAGGGAATAAAGTTAAACATTTTAAATATTAAAAAAGTTTTAAAAAAATATGAAGCATAAAGTGCACTAACAAACAAGTAACAAAGTGACGAGTGACGACAAAGTGATAAGTGATTCAGAGTGCTGTATCCAAGCACATTCATGGGATGTTGAGTGGACGGAAAAGGTGTGGTAGAAAAAGGTGCACAAGCAGCAGGGATACCCGCAGCCTTGTGAGGGTAGAGAAGCAAAGCACCTTCAACAATTTGGGGGAAAATCACAAGGAGTGGACTGCGGCTGGGGTCAATGCTTCAAGAGCCACCACACGGGTTGAGAACATGGGCTACAACTGTCCCATACCTTGTGTCTGTTACGACTGTATGTATGACCCAGCACACAGAGATTCCACACAGGACACAGACAACCAGTTCAAGCAATTTAATGAGTGCAAATACTCAAAAGGGAGGTGAACAACCGAGGCTGAGCCCGGGGTTTCTAGGAAGGGGACGGAGCTCCACAGTGGAATCCAGGTGATGCAGGTGGGGATGTCGGAGCAACGTGAGGCAGGTGGTACGGCAGTTAAGGAACAGGTACAGCGGAATCTGCACAGAGGAACTGAGGTCAGACAGAAATAACCACAGAAAGAACCAGAGTTTGCTGGACAACACAAGCTGGGGTGAATAGTGGAACGTTGATCAGCTGTGTGGGAATGGAGCAGGATGAACGGCCACGCCTCTTGCAGGTGGGGAGAAACAGCACAGACAGACACACGGGAAAAGATACAAACACACAGGATAGGGAAAAAACGGCAGCTGACCCACAACAGTGTCCAGCCACTTCTGAATCAGACACAACGTCAGAAGCGTCTTACCTGGTATAAAAAGGTCCGGTCTGTTGCTCAGCGGTCCAAAATTGTCTTTTCACATGGAAGTAACTTTTACATTTCATTTGAATTGGAAATCTGGAGGAAGAGAGGCACACAATCCAAGGTGCTTGAGGTCCAGTGTGAAGTTTCCACAGTCAGTGAAGTTTTTGGGAGCCATGTCATCTGCTGGCGTTGGTCCACTGTGTTTTATCAAGTCCAAAGCTATTGCAGCAGTCTACCAGGAAACTTTAGAGCACTTCATGCTTCCCTCTGCTGACAAGCATTATGGAGATTCTCATTTCATTTTCCAGCAGGACTTGGCACCTCCTCACACTGCCGAAAGGACCGATACCTGGTTTAGAAATTATGGTATCACTGTGCTTGATTGGCTAGAAAACTGGCCTGACCTAGAATCTACGGGATGTTGTCAAGAGGAAGATGAAAGACACCAGACCCAACAATCCAGACGAGCTGAAGGCGCTATCAAAGCAACCTGGGATTCCATAACACCTCAACAGGCCCAGTGCGGCCCGTCGGATGACTTTGCTAAGTGTAAAGAAAATGACAGAAAGACATAAATTGCATTTCTATAAAAGTAATTGCTATTGCTATAAAGTCCACTGGGGGTCGCACTCTGTGAGTGAGCACATGCGTCAGACCTTAATCGACAACAGTGTTCCTCCGGGCAGCAGCGCCCGACCGCACCATCCGCGTCCACGTTAACTTTTCAAATTAATTGAGATGAAACTGTAGATACCACATTGCATGCAGCGAGCAAAAACCTAATATTGGGGCAAATCAAATGAGGGCTCTAGCAGACTTGTAGAACGCAATTTTTGCAAATTTCACAACCTTGCTAGACACTTAAGCACCTCGTCTTGCAAATTAAGTGCCACGATTATAATAATGCTAATAATAATAAACAAGGAGGACAATAGTTCCTCTGTTCAGGCTCAACCTCAAGTGGGAAAGTGACGTAAAATGTACTTATTTTAGAAAACAAATATACTTTGTAAAGTTTATTTATATATTTTAACACAATTCATTCAAAACAAAGAAGGTATGCCATTTGGGGTTTGGGGGGGGCTTCAATTTTCTTATGTCATCAATAGGGGGCTTGACAGAAAACGTTTGGGAACCACTGGGCTGATGGAAGACAGGATGAGGGTTGTAGCTCAGTAGAGCGCAGTGTTGTCCTTCAAACAGAGGATTGACGTTTCCATCCTGGGACATTTTTGGGTTCAGTGAAACATCAAAGTCTGGCTAAGAGCCAGTTAATTTTTCTCTTATTTAAAAGTGAAACTCTTTTCTGAAACACAGAAAAAAGTCAAACAAGTTGGGAGACACTTTTTGTTGTTAGGAAACGGAATCTATTTTTTTCAGCTTGAATGTATTTCTGTGCAGTTCTGCAATGCAAATGTGTAACATACTATGTACATGCACCATGTGTGTTCTGCTGCTGGACTGATTCAGGGCTGGAGCTGTGACCTTGCCTTTGGTCTGCTCTTTGCTCCATGTTTATTTATTTATTGAAATATACTACTTTATTCAAGGTCTAGTAATGGGGGGTACAAGGCTGAGCATTATCATACTGGCTGGCAAGGTTAGCGCTGCTCAATAGAGCCATGACTTCATCCCAGTAAACTTGTTTTACACCGATATGAATTGAGTTGGGAATCAAATACACTACATTCTCCGTGTTACTATTTAAAAGCTGAAGCAGTACTGAATGTGCATCGCTCCTTTTAGAAACCTTTATTCATATTCCATTTATTTATCAGAAAAGAGAACCTGGATTGTAGTGGTATAGGTCAGAGGTCACTAACTGGTGGCCGCAGTCCGGATCTGGACCCAGTAGCCATCCCATCTGCAGACATTTCAGTCTGTGCTTTCCAGGCAGGATGATATCGTCTCAACATTGCACACAGATTAGAGAGATCGTGGCAAATTACAAATAAAAAGACGGAAATTTGAGAAGAAGACAAGTGAGACTGAGAGAAAGAGACGGGGGAGAAAAATAAGGAACAAATCACTCCCTCCAAAAAGAGAAACTTAGACAACGAAAGTAGAGCATTTAATCTAAAATGGACAAACTTGTTTCTGTTCATACTTCCTACAGGAGGACTAATTTAAACTAGTGTGTCTCAAATGCTCAGAGGCCGTTGAGACGCCATTATGAGGCACAAAGAGCCCCTCTTCGTGAGGAAGAGGAGGAAACGGCCCTGACTGCACCCACGCCCAGGTTTGAAATCCTGGCAGGAGAAGCTAGAGCGCAATCCTCTCTCTGAGTAAAACCAGTGGGGACGGAGATATACATATATATATATACACTCTATAAAAGTGTTCAATTGTTAAAATGCTTTTTGATGTAATATTTATAATTTGCTGAGACTGTCAAGTCCAAATGTGAAGCAGAAAAGGGCAAATTCAGGCTTTTCTTCCTTTATTTTATTTCTTCAGAATTGAATCACCTCCAAGTGCTCGGGAAGTTGCTCGATTCCAAATATCTCTACTGTACATTTGATCCTAGTGTGAGGCTAAAACATGGTCTTACCTCATGTAAGCAAGTATTCACCACCAATGTGCTGCAGAGGTGTGGCTACCAGCACCAAACCGGACCACAGTAATCAGCCTAAAACGAGACGGGGAGCTGATCAGGACCATTAAGAACGGAACCTCTAGGCACCAAATGTGCGGTTGGGCTGGTGAGAGAGGCCTTTGGCAGGTGATCACCATGGTGGTCTGCATCATGACCAGATAAATAAATGTATGGCTCATCGTAAGCCTTAGTGAGCTCTCCGATTGCTTCCATTCCCACATACACTGTAGAGAAACCATTTCCTGTTTTAACTTTACTAAAAATGCTTTAGCCTTGCTCTGTTTGTAGCGTGGGAGAGGAAAAGCAAGATTATGGCGATCATTTAGATTAGCGGTGTGTGTATCGAAGCATTGCTATAGCAACCGCATCCACCATCGTAATGTTCATTAACACCACGTAGCCCTATTCCCCCCCCCCCCCACACACACAGACTTTATTACCACCACAGAGCAAACACAGCATTAAACAGTGTTCAGAGTAAATGGACATTTTATTAATCCCATTGTCGGGTGAACGGGAGTTTGTTCATTCGGCGCAGTGACTGCTTGACCTTTTTAATGTTTTTTATTTCAGAGTGAGAGAGAACTGCGCAGGTCACCATGTTCTAATTATTTCCTGCCCTCCTCCCCCCTCCCTGTCGTCCACAGCAATTTGGCAAGATTTTAGACGTGGAGATTATTTTTAACGAGCGAGGCTCCAAGGTAAGTGTGCTGCAACCACACATCCACACCCCTTCACACAGCGCCGACGTTGGTCCCCTTCCCGCTCTCGTCTCACTGTCTCCACGGCAGTAATTACCAACCCGAATCAGTGACACTTGGCTGCAGGCGGCTTTTACGCTGCACTGGCCTGCCGTGCATTGTGACGATGAATAGCTCACACTTCTCTTAACGCTGGCAGAAGGATTCACAGAGTCTGCAAACACGTGCTTATCTCACCTGTTTAGCTTCTGGACCCATGCCAGGAAGTCGTAATATATAAATAATATAGTATATTATATATATAATATAATAGAGTGTATGCAAAAATCCTTCTCACTCATTTACAGCCCCATAAACAGTACTGTATTACAGTGACCCCCTCAAGCCGGGGCCCAACGCTTCTACATTTAGGAGCTGATTCCAACAACACTTGTTACATTCAAACCTAGAAATGTGTTTATTCAATGGATAAAAACGCCGGCCAACAGGAGAGGAGGTTAGTCAGTACTTAATATCACACTCACAGAGCGTCTGACAAGGTCTTTCTGCTCTTCTAACGGTTGATTCATTGGTTGACTGACTATTCATACAGAGGAACCAATTCTGCACAAGTGCACTGAATACACAGATTCCTATTGCGAAGTATTGAGATGATAAATACAAGCATTAAACGTGGACAAAGGACCACGTTCAAGCATTGTTGGATAAGGATGTCGAATAGAAGCATTTTAAACAAGACAATCTGTACTTCTGTCCTTATGGTTGGTTCATATGTATTTATTTACTAATTTGGTTCACACCCTCTTCATCATTTAATGTTTGTTTATTTGTAATATCATTTTTTATATTCATGGGCTTCTGACTGCTGACTCTCTGCATCAGAGAAGTGAACAAATCTATTTGTGGGAACAAAAAGTTAGAGGGACTCATTTTTCTCCCCCTTTTAAACATATGTTTTATATGCAGCCCCTCTGAAGGGCAGGCCTTCGTGTAATTAATGCCCAGAGAAAGGCAGTCAATCCTGTATATGCATAAAAGATCCTGTTTCCATGTATTATCAGGCAACGCAATTACAGGACAACGAGTGGCCTAAGATATGTCAGCTAGAGGACTGAAAGGACCGAGCAGGCAGGGAGCAGTAAGACCACAGACCACACTTTGAGAGTGAGGTGAGAATAGTGAGATCAATGAAGCGTTACACTGGAACACCTCCTCTGATGGGTGTCTAAGTATAACATATCATATTCATTTCCATGAGCAGAATCGGTCTCAGTGAGACAACCTACTGAGGAACGCTAGACAGACCAAGCTGGGAATTCCGAAGGATTTTTTCCATTTACCTTCCTATAAAACGGTATGACGGTGTGTATGGCAGATATTTGAAAGGCTAGTAGGAACTAGACTCAAAAGGTAGGGCTACCTTACTGATGTCCATCAGCCTCCACCGAAACAAACCACACATACCTCAAGTCTTCAAAGGACTCGCCATGTGTTACAGAAATACAGTGTAATCTGTCCTTCACTAAGCGTCCGTCCATCTAGATGAATTGGAGGGTATAGTTGTCTATTAATAACGCAGCCCGATCAGGATTGACACAGAGCAAGGCCTTGTTGGTCGAAGCATACAGGAAACGATGCGTAGCATTACCTGTGGTTACCACCTCTCAACCGCTCAGACACCAGTGGCCTGCTGGGTATCTAGAGCCAGCATCTTGGCTTCAACAACCAGTCCTGTCAGTTACCACTTGAACACCCATTTTCATTGCTATCAGATGATTGTACGATAGAAAAGGTTATTACTGACTCTCCAATGTTTCAGATGGGCAACGCTGCACCCATATTAACTGAATCTTTGTGAATGAGACACAACGTTAGGCCACAGAACTACATTGGTTAAAGATCATGGTTTGTTTGCTCCCATCAACTAAATGCACTGTGGTTGGAAATAAGGTGTGTAGATCTTACACAGAAAATAAATCTTCCTATTGTTATCGTTGATATTATTTGCATATATGCAACCTGTCAAAAAATATCTTAGAACAAAGAATTTTTGCTTCATAGGCCAAGCATCTAAATATAATACACTGGACTGCAAGAAAAAGTGCTTAACCCAAACCCGGCTCCTTCCCTCCTACCCGAGTTCCTTTGGTCCCTGATCGTCTCATAGCGGTGCTTCCTGACCCTTGTGACGGGTCTTTACTGTTGAGACATTTCAGCGATTAACCTTGTGATTGTTGACATAACTGTAGGTTGGAGAAATGACGAATAAATCATTTCTAGTCATTGCTTCCACACTGCACAACAAATGTAAGAATCGTGATATTTGGTTTAATAATCCAAAATCCTAAGGAAGAGTCCCACTGACTTCTTGTCCGGGGAATACGTGTAATGCTAACGTCCTTGTCCTAATGGAAATCCTTGTCCCAGCAGCACTGTATACTGCACAAATGATGAACTTGTCAGTCGGCAGGTATAAGTGTGATTGATAAGGTGCCCAGAGCTTTCATATGTCTCTTTGCAAGTCCCTGCTGAAGTTCAACAACCCTGATAAGGTACAAAGGAACATTGGAGTGAGTTAATGGCAGAACAGCTCTCACTCTACCTGCTTTAGGCTCATTGACAGCCAGGAGTTTTGCCGTTTGGTTTCTGAGGCATGTTTCAGCGCACACAGACTGCGGTAGCTGCATCTCAGTTCGCGTGCAGACAGGGTCTCCTGAGCGAGCTGCGTCCCGGGGCTCACGGATACCGTGGAGATTGTAATTGTATGGGACTCATCTGCACTCCCACTGGGGTCTCTGCACAGCAGCAGAGCACACGCACACGCACAACCATATGCACATCGCAAACTCCATTGTGTGTGTGTGTGTGTGTGTGTGTGTGGAGGCCTTAATTCCATCAGCTAATTCCGTTAGACCCAGTGGTTTTTGCAAGTGCATGAGCAACAGAGATGGACCGGAGAATAAAAACACATAATCAGAGCTCTTGTCTGTGTCCCCAGTCGTCCTCACCGCTGGTTTCTCATGTATGTCTGAGCAGCCTGAGAAGTCTCTCTGGTCTCTGCTTTTGGATCTAGACCTCCTCCTGACCTGCAGCTCTCTCATCTGTGTTTTGTGTCTTCTTCTCCTCCCCCTATTGGTTTCATCATTTTATTTCTGGACTTCCTCCCTCTGTCGCTTTTGTTTTCCAACCCCACCTCCCGGCCACTGCAGGGCTTTGGGTTTGTAACATTTGAAACGAGTGCAGATGCTGACCGTGCACGGGAGAAACTAAATGGTACAATCGTAGAGGGACGCAAAATAGAGGTGCCTTCCTCTTTCCTGTCTCCCCTTACCTTACCCCCTTCTTCTTTTTTCAACCTTCGTCCCTTTCTCTGCCTGCCTGACATTTCTACCCACATCCATTTGCTCTCTCCTGCCTGCTGCACCTTGAACGCTGCATGCTGAACCCTGATCCGTAAGTGTGTGTGACAAAGAGAAAGACAGACCTATTCAGTGCTGTGAGTGTGTTGCATTGTTGCTGTTGTTTTACAGAAATGGTGAACTGTGTCGGGTGTGTCGGGTGTGCTGGCGTCTAGCGCATGTGCATGGGCTCAAATACTTTGGATTTGGGTTAGAAGGCTCCTTCTAAACGGCTCAAACCTCAGCAGCTAGTGTTCAACTTGGATGGGACCATCTTTAGATGTGGAGTGAAATGTCTCTCCATCTTTCCATCTGTCTCTTCTTTCATGTTCACGTTTGATCTTATCAAGGTCCATATAGCAGAACAATTCTAAGGAAGATACTTGTGTTTTAACTTGTCTTAGAATTGAGGTCCATATTCTGCAACTACTATTTTGTCCTGATAACATGTACAAAGGACAGAGGATGAGGAGGATGGTGTGTCTAGAAAACACAGCTCTACAAACCGGGGATCTGGATGCGGTTTGGTTTGGCCAACAAAAAGACTTGTATGAAGCAAACGTGTTGACCCTTTTTACGCAGAACACCATCTTCCTTAACATTCCTTTGAGGCGTGTACTGTCACCGTGAGTGATATTATATTGCAAGATTGAATTATGTTGGAGAAAAAGACATAAGAATGTAAGATATATGTAAATCTGGATGTCCCCCAAACATCTTACTGTCGAAACATGTATCTATTTATCTATTCATATTCACTTCAATTCAGATCATTTCTTGGATGCAGCAATGCATGCAGTTCAAACTACAAAGTGTAGTAAAAAAGGAGCAGTGAGCTCTTGTTGTGGACTTGTAAGTATCACCAAGTCAAACATGGCTGTGACCCTGTGCACACAGCACTCACAACGACGTCCCATTATTCTGCGCTTGGCGTCGACCGTCCATCTGGAGCCCAGACAGCGTTCTGCTGCAGACACACTGGGTCTTACTGACATTTGTCTGCAACGCCACAACTGGGCACAAGCTCTTTGATTGAAATACAGTGTAACTTGCAAGCATCTTATTGTCCCCGATCACTCGTGTGTTCATACGTCCTTTGTAGTTTCCACAGTAGACTATGACTCATGCATGTCGCATCACCTGCTGAAAAGATGAAGTAGCTGCATGGCGAGAGCTTGTGATGTGGATTACGTACAGTCTGCACGTGTTGTTCTGTTCCTTGTTTGCGTATCTGCTCTCACACTAACCTCAACCTCTGTACTGACAGGTCAACAATGCCACGGCCAGAGTGATGACCAACAAAAAGGTGGCCAACCCTTACGCCAATGGTAAGATTTCAGACTTCTCTTCCATCCTGTCCCAGCTCTTCTGGCCGTCTCCTGAGACGTGCTGTCCTTTCATTTCCTTTCCTTGTTAGTTCCTTCTGTTTTCCCTCCAGTTTTCTCCACTCAAGCTTTCTTGCCCATCATCCCATTGCACTGCATGTGACATGAGCATGCAGGGCTGTCGCTATGATGGGGAGGAAACCAGGGAGCAGGACCAGCAAAGGGGGGGCGGGGATGGAATTAAATGGCCAAACGAGTCACGCACACACACACAAACAGAGGCACAACTCCACCCTGTCTGGGGGTGAAGAGACAGAGAGAATGAGCCCTGAAGGGTTTCTCATTCGTCCACAAACACACATCACATCACAAACACCAAAACTACAAGAATCAACATTTGTTACGACAGCACATTTTAATGAGTGTCCCAGGTAATAATGATAACGTGAAAAAGAGACAAAGAACAGGAGGACAAACAAATAAGTGATTTCAGCAATACTAACGTTCACCCTGTGTGTGTGTGTGTCCCTCCTGTCCAGGCTGGAAGCTGAACCCAGTGGTCGGAGCAGTATATGGCCCAGAATTTTATGCAGGTAAACAATCACACAGTTCTGAAAAGAAAAGTACATTGCTGAACAAATAATGGGCTATTGAATACTTCTTTCCTTTGTCTTATTGAGATTTACATGCTACGTGTGAGCAGTTTCAAGTGGCAGCTAGCTTTGGTTTGGTGGAAGTGCTGAGATCACTCGCTCCTCTTAACCGCTCTACTCTTTGCTCATTAGTCTGAAATCTGTTGGTTCGCAGACAGTTTTACAGCTCTGCTGTAAATCTGCAGCCCGGCAGAGAGGCCATCCATCTCTCCCAGCTGCCTGTGGGCCTCTCCTGTGTTTATACGAGTATATCCAGGATTATTCTCCAGCTGCTGTAGAACACAACTGTAACACCGGTAGATCGTATTGTTACAATAATTCTCCTTTTTCCTAAACCTCAACCTTAAAGCTCAGAGTATGAATGGGAGTGAATGGGTGAGTAATGGGGGAGACATGTATTTAAAAAGCTTAGAGTGGTTAGAAGACTAGAAAAGAGACATTCAATACAGTCTATTTAACATCTAAACAAAGACAAGAGAACCGGTCCATGAGATAGAAGAGACATCTACGATAGAACTGAGGACATTTCTTCTGCTCTCTCACTTTATATCGATACTCGATACGCAACAAAATACATTTTACAACCCTTGAAGCTGGAAGGAAAACAACTTAATGATACAAATAATGTGATTGAGACCCACTCAGGAGAAAGCACAAGCTGAGCAATAGTGAACAGCAGATCTGACATGTTTAAAGGTTTTTAATTCAAAGGCTCTTTTCTCTGCACACTGGCCCTCTCAGCTGAGAAACAAACTTTCTTTAGTGATTGTTGTTTATTCATCACTGTCCGTTTGGGGGGGTTCTGAATTCATGTTACCTTGGTATACTGTCCAGGGACATTTTAAGAATTGTTAGTGGCCATTCAAAGCCTCCTCGAGCAGCAAACACACACACACACACACACTTGTGTTGGTGTGGGAGTTATTTAGGGTGTACTTGGATGGAAAGTGTAAACCTACTACTAAACATCTACGCCCTGAGTTTATGAGGCATTATGTCACTGACCTCCAATTCATTATAATATCATACTTTCTTTAGAAATGTATTGCGATGGATCCATTAGAACTTAAGTACTTCACATCCAAGACAACACTTTGTGGTCTGATGGAAGGAAAGTGGAGACTGCTGCGTGTCTCCTGTGTGATCAAGTACTTTTAATGCATTTTGTTCTTTGTTTTCAGTTTCCAGTGATTTTACCAAGTAGTTAGCGCCAACGTTTGGTTGTGTTTCAACTTTTGCCTTTTTCTATTATTACTGTAGGTCAGTTGCTAAAGTGATGACAAAGTGGCACAGCCTCCAATGGGTTTTAAATGGCAAATGATAAATGGACTCTTTTCTCTTATCTTCCAACCACTCAAAGCTCTATTACACTACATGTCATCATTCACCATCATTTTTCATCCCGTTATGTACAGACTCAAAAGCCCGCTAAGGTAAATTTGTGATTTGTGATTTTGAGCTGTACAAAATAAAATTAATTGAACTGAAGTAACCTTTGTCATTAGCTATATATGAAACATGTAGACATGGCTCCAATCTTTTCGTCCCTCATCAAGTAACATTAGAGGCGTTCACAGTGACTTATTGCATAAAACACACTCACACACACGTAGACATGTTCAGTGTTTCTTGTATTGTGTAGGCTGCTTATAGCCAGAGCGATCTTAAAGTTTTACAGGACAAAGTGACACCCTATGCCTCCTAAGGGGGAAACTACACATCAGGAAAAAAAGGAAAATCAGTCATGGCGGTTTTGTATGGGCCCTCTACATTTTTCTATTTGTTCACACACTGTAAAAAAAATCAAGGGGGTTCAACTTAAAAACATTATTGTTGCCTTACACTTTTGAGTAGTCTAATTCAGGAGTGGGCAAACCTTTTGACTCGCGGGCCACAATGGGTTCAACGCTTTGACAGAGGGGCCAGGAACAAGTGTTTGTGTGAGCTGATATAAATGACATGTAAAGGCATTACATGAAAGGGTTGGTCTTTTAACAAGTAGCAAAGCATTTATTTGCAAGGCAATTTAACAAATGTGCAAGGGTGTAATGTTAGCCAACATTAGGTCCCTAACCTGTGTTAGCTGCAGACCTTTTACCCCATAGGCTGACCCCCCTGAACGTTGGCTTAATTAAATTATATTTTTCTAAATGTCCTCTGAAACATTAATAACAATAGGACTTCATATACTGTTGGTCAACAACCGTTCGTGTTATCTGGATTTACGCGGCTCAATGGTTGAAAGCTAACGCTAAGTTAGCTAACGCTACTTTAACACTGTTCTATTTGCCATATTGGATCAACTGCATTAAACTAACCTCTAGTGTCATGCATTTACGGACAATATATCAACACGACAACAACTTTCTCTACATTTACTAACCTGTATATTTTTGATGGATCCACTCACCTCAGGCTTTCTTTTCCGAGCTGTCGCGCCAGTTTTCAAACGTCGACTCATGTTCATCGTCTCGCCGGTTAACGATAATCATCCGCCACTTGGTTCGCTGAGCCAACGAATGAGGTCCAGGTCACGTTTGTGATCCGGACGTCTTAATCCTCTGCGTGTTTAGGTTAGTTCGCCGTCTGCTATTTCCATTGGTTAGTGATGCAGCTGTTTTTCAGTAGAATGTATGCATTTGTATTTCTGTGTAGATTGTGATCATTTTACATGGGCGTCCAATAGAAATGAAATCGCTTTAAAAAGTGCCACTTCACTTTGACTGTTGGACATAAGCGTAATTATAACTAATACAGTACACACTAATACAGTTTTCAGTTCATTAAACTTGTTGAAATTTACAATTTTTAGAAAAACCTGAGTTGGAATACTGATAACATACAATTAAGTTGTAATTGTATAAATCATCATGATACGTTGTAAATAACAGAAAGACGTTACTATGACTTATTGTTCAAATCCTTTTTTACATTGTACCTTCATAAGAATCTTTTGTGTTGCTCGGCACTACTGACATTCATATGCCCATTAATTCACAGCGGAGAAAATATCCACACTTCCACTCTACATCCTTCCTGCATTCATCTATAAAAATGAAAAAAGAAAAAAGATACTCTCCTGTAATCTAAAATGCGTGGGATTTGGATTTCTTCTGGAATGATTATGAGTGCATTTAATCTATTTTGGGGAGGGAGTAAAGCAGGATGTAAAGCGGGATGTAAGGGCGATTAATCACTCTTTATCAGACGGCTTTCGCAGCACCCATCAGCTGAATCGGCCTCCATAAATCCTGGCCAGCTGACAGTGCACTCCATCTCCATTGCCGGGCTCGGCTACAGGTTTATTGTGCGCAAATCCCATTCAGAAGAATGACGGATGACCCCCACTTGCATATACTCCCATGCTCACACACTCACATGTAGGAATGTAGCTATACATGTACAGTGTGTCTATTGCATTCACACTCGCATCCAACAGAACAAGCAGACACTCATTGGTATGTATGGACTAATAACACACACTCAACTATCAAATTTTGATAGCTGATAGCAAATTTTGACCTATTTTGATTGACAGCCTATAAAATGAGCGCTGTCAAATGTTAGCTCTACCATTGTATACTTGAACCAAACTATATCAACAATGTTGTAAAAGTAAAAGTGAGACTTATTATTGTTTATTGAGACACAGCAACTTTTGGTTTAGGCAACAGAAGTGACCCGTTCTTAGTTCAGATTACGCTTTTATCCAAAACGACATTTTTTATCCATAGTTTTTTTTTTTTAATTTCTGCCCAGGGAGCAATTAAGGGTTCAGTGTCTTGCTCAGGGACACTTCGACATGGAGCAGCCGGGGCTCAGAACCGCCAACCTTGCGGTCCTCGGCGCGCCCTCTCTGGCTACGCCACGACGACCCTGTACATAATAAAAATACAGTGAGACAAGTCCCAATGTTGATTTTGGTTTGGACCTGGCCTGTTACAGACACATCTTGTTTTCCTTTTACGTATCACAGCATTCGACTCATTGATGGCTGTAGGGATGTTTCCATGAAGATTAACCCTTCAGCATTGCTTCAACGTAACAAACTGAGTGTTCAATGGTGTTAGAATTGTGATACTTGTACTCTGTACAGTAACACATTTTTCCTGCCAGAACCTAATTTCTATGTAAACGGATTCATGCTGTGAAGCTTAATTTGTACTAGAAATTACATTTATGTACCAAAATATATTCGGAAATTCTGCCTGGATTGCATTAGCTTTTTTTGTTTTAATTGAGGAAAGGTGTTTATTAACTCTCTGCATCATGTAGGGAATATGATGTCAATGCACACATGGTTAAGGAGAGATTATTAGTCCACCTGATCCCCCCAACCAGACGCCAGCTGCTACCTTAGTAGCTGTGAGCACTGACAGCAGCAATGCTCGCTGTTCATGAGGATTATTTGGGGGGGTCCCTGAAGATTCTGTCAGTGTTGACTACTTGGGGACTTTCTCACTACATGAAACAAGAATCTCTGTTATTGACATACAATAAATTAAAGATAACACGAGGAATCCAAAATAAAAACCTGTCTCTAAGGGTTCTCCTTTAATGAAGGCCTGTCCGATAAATAAGTGTTCCAGCACAACGCAACCAGACACTTACACACGTACGCGGTACGCAATTGTAATGCAAATGGGGAACCAGACTGTGTATGCGTATACGTGTGTGCATGTGTGTTTGAGTAAAATAGACTTCATGGGCATGAAGGACAATGAGGAAAATGTAATACTGATTGATTGACTGTGTCCTAGACTGGGTATATGCAAAGCAGGACGATGTGTGTGTGTCTGTGTGTGTGTGTGGGGGGGGGGTGTTGTACAGTGTGTGTTTGTGACTGTGCCTGTGTGGGTTGGGCTTGGCAGAGCAGCTCTCCCTAGAACACACAAAATAAGATTAAAATGCAAAATGCATGCAAGGAAGTAACGAGGCAA